GGACGGATCCACTATCAGCCGGTACGGACACGGCAAGCCTTGCGTGTTTTCCGGCCGGTAACCCGGGTGCCTGGGCGTCATGTCCGAGCACGCAATCTTCAGCATGTCGTCTGTGACGGCCCTGGCGCCGGGAGCTTGCACGACCACCAGCAGCAACAACACCATCGCCAGCGCGATCACCACGGACGTCGTCGTCGCATCCGCACTACGGGTCTCCACCGCCATCGCAGTTACCGCGGTATTACGATATAAATACGATATGTTATGATGACTTACCGTTACCGCAGTAGCAACAGTAGCAGTATACCGGAAATTATTATTTTGTTTTCATACGATGAAGTGATAATATGATATAACGGTGATGTCGTCCTCGCGCGCTGTGGTTACCACACAGTTTTAGGTGATAGAATTGCCTACATTGACCGCACTTATATAACTTATAGTATTTTGTTCTGTCAGTCGTCCYGAAGCACGYCACTGATTACTGCCTGCAATACAACAAAAGGCCGAGCAATTTGATTTTTACTTGATTTTATCTACGATAGAGGTATAATCAACCCTCCTACCAAAAGTAAATTTGTTGTTGTTTTTTTTTTCACTAATAATAATTATTAAAGTGTAATCGGRAAACAAGATAGGCTTTTAAATATATAGTAATATAACGGGGCCTAAATATCTGAATCGATTATAAAAAAATATTGAAAATAACATTTGTACACCTTTTATAATTAATGATATGTGATATAACAAAGTCCAACATTYCTTTAAGATGAAAATGATAATTTTAATCTAAATGAAACTTGATTTACAATATTATAAATTATGATTATTGATTTGTATTATGAATTTATTTATATAGTGTTTCACAATAATTTATAATAGTTGTTTTAAATTTTTTAAATTCGATTATGACGTGTTAGTTGTGGAAAGAGGGTGTACGGATTATAAGCACTAAGACATTTTTCTTCTAAGTTCTAACTTATTTCAAATATTAAATATTAATTACATTGGCGTATTCAGAAATTTTCCTAACACATTTAAGTTGGGGGCTCCGGCACCCCACACCCTACAACTTTACACTGAAATAGAAATTAAATTTGCTACAATGCATTACAATAAAATTATTTTAATATCAATGATTATTTATTTTGACGATTTGAAACAACATCTTTTATGCWAAATCTAATCTTTTTGGAATTAAATAATTAATRTATCAATTTATTGATAATTTCATAAACATCTAGATGTATGTCTTGATAAATGAATATCATTGCTATTTATTTTGCTTGTCCATTTAGCCTCGTCTAAATAATAATTTAATTAAAAATACAGTCATTGGTGGATGAGGGAGGTCCGGATCCTATGGACTCTCTTTAGAATACGCCACTGATAAACAATCTGTGGACTAACACTAACGTTTATAATATATCATATATGTCAATGATTCGACAACGACAGATTTGTGAAATATAATATAATACTTATCTATATTTAAAT